TTTTATGACAAAAGTGTGCTCTTTTATGCTGTTTTATGATCTCATTTTATATATATGATTTATTTATGTTATCTCTTAACTGTATGATTTTATATTTGTATCTTGTGCTATGTTCCTAAAATGTATAAATAAAATAAATAAATCGTAAGTTTAAGGAGTAAAAGGTTGACTACCAATTGTATAACAGACAAACAGTTGCACATAAAATATATTATTTGGCAAATGAAAAATAAACATTAATTTATGTTGTTATAATTCTTCATTTTTATCTGATAATTGTTCATTATTAAACATATACAGTGGAGCCTTGCTAATCCGAACCCTTCTAATCCGGAATCCTTTCTTATCCGAACGAAGTGTCCAGTCCCGATTTTATTCGTTCTATTTTCAATAGTAAGAAACCTTTCGGATCCGGAACCTGTCTACTCCGAATTCCGGACGATTTTTTCAATTTTTGTTCTTGTTTTACTCTAAAATTTACCTCTCGGATCCGAACCTATTTTATGTTACACCTTCATTCAAAATAACAAATAATCACACATCTTGCAGGTGTAAACATACACCAAACTGATGTGTTATTTCGCTTGATTAATGGGTGAAACGTATGATCTGCGAAGGTGTGAAAATTACACTTAGCTTGCCTTCATGTCTTCTATAATTGCTTAATTGATTGTTTTTCGTCACTTTCAATAAATATTTTGATATAATGCAATTGAAATATCTTTTATTTAATCCTTTGTAATGCATTCAATGATACGTGATTAAGCAATGAAAATTAATGGAAATTGTCAGTTAAGTCGGATAGTCGCTAAATCGGATAAGAGTAAACAACAATTGACAAATGCTGGTACGAATATTTAATCATGTCTCGGCCTCCTGTTTAACATCGTAGGTTAACTTAAACTTAAGGACATAATATTTTTGCTTATTTATTTATTTTTATTTCTTTATTTTTGTATTCACATGTAATAAAATGAACGATAAGAGACTGCAAAAATAAAATATCTAAATTGCAATTTCAAATGCATTCCCGTTTTCTTTCCTTAAACTATTTTACAAATACATGTAACATGAAAAAACATGTAAAAAACCTTCTAATTCGGAAACCTTTCTAATCCGGAAACCTTTCTAATCCGAACTTTTCTTCTAGTCCGGACGAGTTCGGATTAGACAGGTTCCACTGTACAAGAAATATTACATACAAGAACAGTTAAGTTTGCAGATTGTGTTCTTTAATAATTAATTGATGAGTATCATTTTATGTGAATTTTCCGTTTTGGAAATGAAAATTATTTTGGTTGATTTGGTGGAACTGTGTCACATGTCACGATATCTTTATATTTTAAACATTTTATATTTAATACTTATATGTGAACAGCAGTAAAATTTAAAGAATTGTGATGTTATACATAATTATATATAAACGGTAAACTGTCCGAAGCTACGTCAATATCAATTAATGCCATTTAAGAAAACTTCACTACCGTCAATTAACAGTATCCAGTTGTATTATAGCGTCTTTTTTTGTCATTTTACAGCGCATTGCATAAGGGGACAGTTGATTTTCCCCGCTAAAGTCCAGACATTTTTGGCCAAAATATTGGTCAGGCCTTGGCCGGACCGTCGACGACGGCCCTGTACATTTGTGTGAATTTTTGATTTTACTCTACCATTCCTGACCAAGCTGAACCTCTAGTCTCAAAAGATTTCTTAAACTGGTCAAAGCGAATGTTTTGACTGTCACACCAAAGCTATCTAAAACCTATTTTAACAAATCAGATCCATGGAAAAAAAATTATTTTGAGATGATAATGCAGTGTTTTACAAATTTTTACATGCCTTGTTATTTGTTATCTTTTGACAGTGTATCTTTAGCACTAAAGCCAGCTTTAAAATTATCTTCGTTTTCCCTCCAGCAACCTATGCCAATTTAATCCAAAATAATTTTTTAATTCTTTTTATATCTTAAATTATACGGATTTCAAAACAAATTGTGAATGGTTAGCATCTGTTTAAAGTTAGAATTAAAGTTTTATTCCACATACATGTATATCCCAGTTTGTATATTTACACTTTAAAAACATGAGACTATAAACATGTGATTTTCATTGACAGACACTGTCACTCTGCCATTGTGTTTTGTAAAAAAAAATCTTTTGTTTGACAAGTTTGTTGGGGTAGCTGTGATTTATGTGGAAAGATATCAGGAGGAGAGACAATATTTTATTTTATGCCTTATCTTAATAGCAACAATATTACCTGATGAAGACTTTTTAGTACATTTTTTATTTGAAACTAGAGTTGATTTCTATATTCAAACTTACCTTATTAGCAACCACCCAATTTCCCAAAAAGAATAACACACAATTAGGGGTAAAACTTGCAAGATTCAAGGTAATTTTTTTCTTTATGCCCCCACAATGTGGGAGCATATAGCGTTGCACTTGTCCGTCCGTCCGTCTGTCCGCACTAACAGGAGAGTTATTATGTGGCTAGAGGGACAATAGGTAACTGTTCTTTCTCTTTGATGTCATTCATTCCGTAATGCTTTTATGTGGCTATTTTCTTTTGTGTGGCTAAAAAGAACAATAGAGAGAACAATAGAGTAGCCACATAATTGCTCTCCTGTTAGAACGTCCGTCCGTCTGTCCGTCCGTACAAACCAGAGCTACATTATGGGGTTTGGTCTATTGTTCTCATAACAATAGATGTCTTTGATGTCATTCATTCCGTTTCTCTTGTGGGGTTAAAAAGAACAAAAGAAATAACAAAAGAAAACCCCATAATGTAGCTCTGGTAAGAATGTCCGTCTGTCCGAGAAAACATTTTGGGTTTAGGGGCTATATAACAGTAAAGAGAACAAAAGAGAACAATAGGTTCATTCCGTGATCAAAGGGTTAATGGGCTAGTAGCTCTTAAGAAAACAAAGAAAATAACAAAGAAAATAGCCCCTAAACCCAAAATGTTGGAATGTCCGTCCGTCTGTCCGTACATCCCAAAATCTTGTGAATAACACAAACCGGATGGCAGATTTTGCTTAAACTTACAGGGATGAACAACCTTAATGTGTAGATGGTAGTAAAGGAAGGAATTTTCGCTGCGACCAAATTTAACAGAATTATGGCCCTTTGTTGATTTTTTCACTATATACTATGTAGAAATTTTGTGAACGCAACTCCTCTTAAACTGGATGGCAGATTTTGCTTAAACTTCCAGGGATTAACAACCTTAATGTGTAGATGGTAGTAAAGGAAGGAATTTTCGCTGCGACCAAATTTAACAGAATTAGGCCCTTTGTTGATTTTTTCACTATATACTATGTAGAAATTTTGTGAACGCAACTCCTCTTAAACTGGATGGCAGATTTTGCTTAAACTTCCAGGGATTAACAACCTTAATGTGTAGATGGTAGTAAAGGAAGGAATTTTTGCTGCGACCAAATTTAACAGAATTATAGCTTTTTGTTGATTTTTAGTTTTCAACTTGTGGCACATGTACTAGTCCAAAAAATATTTGACCTAGAGTCATAAGATTGACAGAACAGTGGGGTGTGGGGGCATCCGTGTCCTATGGACACATTTCTTGTTTTTTTTATCTGTTTAAAACGTTCATTTGTTTGCTTTTAGAAAAAGTTAAAAAGTTGAACATTGCCCCAGTGTGGCTCTTGTTTTTACCTCACCTGTCACAAAGTGACATGGGGAGCTATTGTGATAGCTTTTCGTCCAAACTTTTACTATAAATGACATCTCCCCAAAATCTGCTAATCCAATTTCATCCAAACTTCATAGGAATAATCCTTTGGTGGTTAGTTTTAAGAATTGTTTAAAGAATTTAATTTCATGCAAAACTCTGGTTTCCAAGGAAACTGAAAGAAAAAACTTAAAATATCTTCTTTTAAAAAACCCATTCAGTTAGAACTTAGGCCTGTATTCAGAATCAATGCTTACACTCACACTCATTGAGTAAATCCCATATAATTGCCTAACGGTCAAGACAGCCCTCAACCTTTCAGTTAAGTGGTATTCAGGTTATAAAGTAAGCATCGAGTGAACTCAGGAAAGTTGAGAATCTGTGAGATTAGGAGGGGGCTACCTTGAGGTGATTTCAAAAAAATAATACTGAATACCACTTAGTTTTGAGTATTGATTTTGAATTAAGTTTGTCCCATATACATTTAAGTGCATCATATACGTGAACTGACAGGTTTTTTGAGTTTCGTTTTATCCATAAAAACAGCTAGTCCTGTGTTTGTCAATGCGACTGTCCATGATTCTGGACCCAAGTCCTCGGTTGATTTGTCCTATGCGTCTACATATAGGCCTATGATATATATTCATGTTTTAAATAAATGCCGTTTAGTTATAAGTTTTTATTGTTTTGTTTATGAAATATTAAAAAATAACAGTTAGATACAAGTTATATCACACTGTTTGAATTTTTGGATTGATATAGAATTCCCAATCCATATATTTAAAGATATTTCAAAGGAAAAATTCTTATGGCGTCATGAATAACCATGCCAAAAAGTTAAAGTTGATGACGTCTGAATATTTTGATAAAAAAAAAAATAAAAATCCACATAGCAAAACAAAATTTTGAACATTTCTTTAGTATGATTTCCCGGGTGTAAAAAGTCCATGCTTTTCCAGGGATTTCCATGGAAAATAAGAGGCTGGAGTATTGGAACAAAATTTTCCAGCCTTTTCCAGGCTGTAGCTGGGAAAAAATGGGCTGGAAAGACAGGGAAAAAACATGGAACATTTTCCATGCTGCATGGAATATTTTCCATGTTCTCCATGGAAAAGCATGGACTTTATTCCATGCTTTTCCATGTACATGGAGTATAGGAACAAAAGTATGGCTTTTTTTCCAGGGTATTCCATGTGTCTGCCAACCATAGAGGCTGGACTTTTCACCATGGTAAATAGTCCAGCCTTGATGGAATAACATGGAAAAAAATCCAGCCTAATTCCAGCATCCCTGAATGTTCTTAAAATGTAAAATTCTGGGGTGGAATTTTCATGAGTTTAACATGATCACATATTTCTTTCACAAAATTTAATACATATCCTTTAGTCCAAATACAGAATAGAACACCCTACATTCACTATAACACAAACAGTTTTTTTCTAGCTGCAGGTTTTGGTAGGTTCTGGTTTTCTTAGAATCCAACACTTTGTTTTTAGCAATTATTTTGCTCTTAGTCTGTCAGTGAGAAACTGTTTCAATCTTAAATTTGTTTCAAATGTTTCTGATTATTTAAATTACTATTTCTTTTATCGATGTCCATTTTTAGTCCTCTGCCTGTGTTTCCTAGAACTTCTTGTGGTTGTGCTCACCTTTAAAGATAAAATTCATAATTAATTAAACACAGATGCGGTAATGAATTATGTTTTATTGCATATATGCAGTTATATTTCATATCTTTTAATAACATTAAATCTAATGTATCAACAGTATTAACTATTAAATATTAACTATGCTTATGCATATTCAAAAAATACTAAAGCAATGCAGTATATCTTATTTCAATGTGCACAAGTGTTTAAGACTTTCTCTGTATAAGAATTAAGTAAATTTGTGACAATATTTATTACCCAGTATGTATTTTTTCAAGAAAAGATGTGGAATAGAAAAGTATTGAGATTTAAAAATGTACCTTTTCAGGATTAATACTGCACTTCATTATTAAACACTGCCAGTAATTCTCAGTCAGCACTTATGTCCCAGCCTGCAAATTATGTATGTATAATGTAAAATGTTACTGAACCATTGAAAACACAACACATACGGTGTCACCCCGGTACGGAATTAGACCCAGCCCATTGTAGTCTAGAAAGTAGTTCTTTTAAATTTTGAAATGGCCTATTTCAAGTTATCACAATTAATACTGGTTATATTTTAAGTATATCTTTAGTAATTTAAATTATGTACATGAAGTTTCATTTCTGAGTACTTTAAAGGTTGTTTTTGATGTATTTTTGCAGGATTTCATTTCTGGGTGGAAGGTTTCAGGAGGCACTATGCACAAGAATACACACCAGTTACTATTTGGAATATTCTATAGTGATTACAGAAATTAAAAGCTGCAGAAAAACTCCAAGGGCTAATGTATTATTTCTTTGTGCTAAATTTACTTGGACTGCGTTGGTGTTTAAAGAAATGGTCATGAAGTTCCGGTACCGGATATGCTTTGTCCAGAATTTAGCCTTAAATGTGATGGACTTATTATAGGATTTATATTACGAAAATTCAGTGGGCCGTCTCCATACATGTAAAATAACAAATGATTATGATGACCCTGTTCAGCTGTACAAAACTACTGATTGTACCATTTAGTCCGATTTAATCAAATTGATTTAATTTGTTTAATTTGCAGGAAATGAAAAAGATCTACTAACATGCCATTTAAACAATATATACACAATCATTATAAAGAAATCATTGGATAATTTATACTTTACAGATTATACAGTCATGTATAGATTAAAAACAATGATCAGAAAAACAAATGCATGAAGTTGAAAATATAAAAACAACCTTGATCTCTTGTTACAAATGTTGATAGTTTGATATATAACCTGTTTCTGCATTAATGTAACTTAAGGTTTATAAATACCTGATTCTGTTGTATATCTTCTTGTCCCAGGTGATTCTAATATTGTTATCATACCAATACTTAAACACTTTAAAATCTAAAACAAAACTGCACATCCTCTGTAATTTGCTCTCCTTGCTGACCCAGATATCTTAAGCTACAGTCTCACTTACATCCCGGCAGAGCCCCGGTGATCCGGGAACGACCTGGGTACGACCAGGAACAACCGGAGTACATCCGTAATTCTGCCAGCAACGTCCAGGATGATCCGGGAACATCCGGCATTCGACCCCGGATGGAATAAAATATTTAATATCACGGGGGTGGTCCGGGATGATCCGGGAAGGTATAGTATGCCGGCTTCATCCTTAGCTCTGCCCGGAACGACCGGGGTTATACCGGGGAAGCACCGTAGCTCTGCCGGCACAAACCGTGGATGATCCGGGGTATGATATAGCCGGTAGAGCTACGGAAGAGCCCCGGTAGATGCAGGCAGAGCCCCGGTAACTACAGGCAGAGCCCGGGAGGATAAAGGTAGAACTACGGTTGATCCCAGTAGAGCCCCGGCAAAGCCCGGATCATTTCAAAAGAATTACGACAATTTGCGATGAATGCACTTGTTTGTATTAAAACCCTTCCCATTTCCCTTCTATCCAGTATGGCATAAGGATTTTTCAGAAAATCATCATGAATTACTATTTTAAAACAATAGATATTATATTAAATTAAAATTATGTATCAATGTTATCATTTTCGGGCGTTTTCAATCCACCGGGGTTCTACCGGGGCTCTGCCTGGATCGTCCTGGGCTCTGCCTGGATCGACCGTGGCTCTGCCTGGGTCAACCTGGGCTCTTCCGGCGTCATCCGGGAATGACCGGGGAGCAAGGGCATGAACCGTAGCTTCACCTGGGCTCTGCCTGGATGATCCGGAGCGCATCCTGGGTCGTTAGTTGGGAACTACCGTAGTGCTGCCGGGGTAAGTGTGACCGCAACAATAATGAAGGGATTTTGTAAATACTTGCCACAATTGTTCACAATAATGAAACCATGCGTTATGCGCAACAACAGGTCACCTACCTCCAAGGTCACGGTCCCACTTTGAGGTCAAAGATTAACATAGTCTGTTATAGGGTATATTTTGTGTCTGGTCTATAACTTTTTCATAGATCAAAGGATTTTGTAAATATGTGCCACAAATAGTCAGTATAATAAGACGATGTGTCATGAGCAACAACTGCATCCCTACCTCCAAGTACAAGGTCACACTTAGAGGTCAAGAATTAACATAGTCTGTTTTAGGGTATATTTTGTGTCCAATCTACAATTTCTTCATAGTTCATGGGATTTTGAAAATACTTGGCACAAATAGTTACAAAAATGAGACGATATGTCAAGCACAACACCTGCACACCTACCTCCAAGGTCAAGGTCACACTTAGAGGTCAAAGCTTAACATGATAGATTTTTAGCTCGACTATACGAAGTATATGGAAAGCTGTCCTACTCGCCCCGGCGTCGGCGTCCGCGTCCAGATTTCAGATTAAAGTTTTGGTGCAGTAAAATATTTTTCACTATAACTTTGTCATTTCTTAAGTTCTCAACTTCAAACTTCAAATATATGTTCCTTATCATCAACCACATCTTATGTGACAAGGTGCATAACTCTAGCACCAATATTTTCAGATCTATCTCCCCTTGAACTTAGAATTTTCCTCAAAAAATACTATTTTTTACTGTTACTTCTTTATTTGTGAAAGGATCAACCTCATTCTTCAAATATATGTACCTTATCATCATCCCCATCTTATGTGACAAGGTTCATAACTCTAGCACAAATATTTTCAGATTTATCTCCCCTTGAACTTGGAATTTTTCTCAAAAAATACTATTTTTTACTGTTACTTCTTTATTTGTTAAGGGATCAACCTCATACTTGAAATATATGTACCTTATCATCATCCCCATCTTATGTGACAAGGTTCATTACTCTAGCACCAATATTTTCAGATTTATCTCCCCTTGAACTAAGAATTTTCCTTAAAAATATTATTTTTTACTTTAACTGTTTTTAAATTTAAAGGTATCTACCTCAAACTTCAAATACTTATTCCTTATCATCAATTACATTTTATGTGACAATGTTCATAACTCTTGAAGCAATATTTACAGATTTATCTCTCTTTGAACTTAGGATTTTCTTTAAGAAATATTATAACTTCTTTACTTTTTAAGGTATCTACTTCAAACTTCAAATATATATTTCTTATCATTACACACATGTTGTGTGACAAGGTTCATAACTCTAGTGTGACTATTTCTAGAATTATTCCCCTTGATCTTGGAATTTATGTAAACAAATGTTTTTATGCCCCCACAATGTGGGTGCATATAGCGTTGCACTTGTCCGTCCGTCCGTCTGTCCGTCAGTCCGTCCGTCAGTCCGTCCGTACGTCCCGAAATCTTGTGAACGCAACTCCTCTTAAACCGTATGGCAGATTTTGCTTAAACTTACAGGGATGAACAACCTTAATGTGTAGATGGTAGTAAAGGAAGGAATTTTCGCTGCAACCAAATTTAACAGAATTATGGCCCTTTGTTGATTTTTTCACTAGATACTATGTAGAAATTTTGTGAACGCAACTCCTCTTAAACCGGATGTCAGATTTTGCTTAAACTTCCAGGGATTAACAACCTTAATGTGTAGATGGTAGTAAAGGAAGGAATTTTTGCTGCAACCAAATTTAACAGAATTATGGCCCTTTGTTGATTTTTTCACTATATACTATGTAGAAATTTTGTGAACGCAACTCCTCTTAAACCGGATGACAGATTTTGCTTAAACTTACAGGGATGAACAACCTTAAGGTGTAGATGGTAGTAAAGGAAGGAATTTTCGCTGCGACCAAATTTAACAGAATTATGGCCCTTTGTTAATTTTTTCACTAGATACTATGTAGAAATTTTGTGAATGCAACTTCTCTTAAACTGGATGGCAGATTTTGCTTAAACTTCCAGGGATGAACAACCTTAATGTGTAGATGGCAGTAAAGGAAGGAATTTTTGCTGCAACCAAATTTAACAGAATTATGGCCCTTTGTTGATTTTTTCATTATATACTATGTAGAAATTTTGTGAACCCAACTCCTCTTAAACCGGATGGCAGATTTTGCTTAAACTTCCAGGGATTAACAACCTTAATGTGTAGATGGTAGTAAAGGAAGGAATTTTTCGCTAATACCAAATTTAACAGAATTATGGCCCTTTGTTGATTTTTAGTTTTCAACTTGTGGCACATGTAGTCCAAAAAATATTTGACCTAGAGTCATAAGATTGACAGAACAGTGACGTGTGGGGGCATCCGTGTCCTATGGACACATTTCTAGTTTTACTATAACTTAATACATAATTATACATAATTGATTTTTCTTTCATAGTTTTGTCCTCCTTACTGTTCAGTATTTTTATTAGTCGAGCTTCGCTGTCTCCTGTGACAGCTCTTGTTAAATTCTGTGTTTCATTTTATTTCTTTAATAAATTTATTATTGCATTTGCAGATCTAGCATTGATCATAATTTTGGACTGAGAGTCCAGAGATCCATACCTCAATCTTTTGAAATAGCACAATTTTATGCTTCATGTAAAACTTCCCCTAGGCGCTCTGTTACAAATTCTTGTTAATCCAATTTTACCTGTCAATAGATAACTGTTAAAGGTGGTCAATTGATTTATAATTGATGGTTAAGGATTACATCTAAAGTATTGCCCCCAGCACAACAGACTTTTCCTAATGTGACAAAATACAGGGTCACATGATTTGATTTTTTGGCACACTCACAAGATAACGGTTAATGCCAAGTACATTTAGTATTAAGTTCAAATGACCAACAACATTTTGAATTTAGTTATTTGTAAATGGTTTACACGTAAGTAGCTTATATTTTCATGGAGAAACATTATAAGAATGTTCATCAGAACAACTTCATTGTAAAGTTTAGGTATTCCTATAATGTTTTATTGCCAAGTGGTTTATTTTCAGTTAAATTTGTAAACACATTCACATATCTGCACAACATTTATAGCAAAATTTCTGCTATTTTCAGGTGGATGGTGGCAACAGAAGAGAGAAGCCAATGATATAAAACAG